CAGTTCATAGGGCCAGAAGTAGAGCACTGTATTCTTCTCCAGGAAGTGGGCACATTCTCTCGTTATTTTCTATTCTAAAGTCACGGTTGAATTCATACTCCTTATCCTCATTAGATTTAAATGGCTACTTGCCATAAGCCATCCTGCTGTAGGGAACGGCATGGGAGCCTGACTGATACCCCTTGTTCTGCAGGCTAAAAGGGGGTCCCATGTGTGTGGTACAGCTCCATAGAAGTTCTTGTTTGTTCACCTTTGGTTGCTTGACAAGGCTTCCCAGAATTAACAGCCTAACCTTTTGGCTTAGTATGGCTTTGGGAAATTCCCTGGAGTTTCTCAAAGGACGTGTTAAAATACATCAAAATTAACTGGTTTATTTAAAGGGCATTGTCAGTACTAACGGTGTTTTTGATGCATGTTCCCGGTATGGGTTGGCTCCATTTAATTTTGTCATTAATCTTCCTTGTTAGTGGTGTGTGCATGGACCCATTGTGGCTGTGGTCATGCTCTTCTACGTCTGGAATGAAGTTATTATGTTGGATTTCTATCCACATTCCCCCAGGGAGACGGTGGGTCTGGGTGCAGTAATGTTTATAACTAATTGATCATCACCAGTTACAGATTTCTTTGTTTCTCCCCACTCCCATAGTTTCACTTGATTTACCAAGAACATGTTGTTTCCCTAGTAATAATAAGATATATTGCGTTTTTGTTAGAGTAGGATCATTTAACTTTTTACTTTGTTCCTCGTACTGTTCCCAGAGTCAATTGGTAAAAAAATTGGAAAGGTTTACTATAAAGATGAATAGGTAAAATAATAAAAATATTAAAAAAGGTTTTTGATATTAATAGATTTTGTTTAGATTAGTTTATAGTATAATTGTTTTTAATAGTAGTATAAAATATAATAGAACGTTATAATCAAGTTTCATTATATAAAATTATCTTGTATATATTGTGATTTTGGTCATAAATTAAAATAATAAATATAAACATAAGACATTAAATTGTTATATATAAGTAAGATTTTATAAGAATTTAGAATATAAGTTTATGTGTAAGTTTAAAAGGTCAAGAATTGTGATTCAGACCAAAAGTCTGACGCTCTCTAATGCCAAGCATGCTGCTATTTTATAGTTTCCTGGCCACAAGCCACAGGCTTTGGGGTAAACTATTGATGCATGACAGGGTGCTTTTATCACAGCATGAATGCTTTGGAACATTCTGATTTTTCTTTTACTATAGAGATAAAATAATAAATGTTTACCCCACTCCCATAGTTTCACTTGATTTACCAAGAACATGTTGTTTCCCTAGTAATAATAAGATATATTGCGTTTTTGTTAGAGTAGGATCATTTAACTTTTTACTTTGTTCCTCGTACTGTTCCCAGAGTCAATTGGTAAAAAAATTGGAAAGGTTTACTATAAAGATGAATAGGTAAAATAATAAAAATATTAAAAAAGGTTTTTGATATTAATAGATTTTGTTTAGATTAGTTTATAGTATAATTGTTTTTAATAGTAGTATAAAATATAATAGAACGTTATAATCAAGTTTCATTATATAAAATTATCTTGTATATATTGTGATTTTGGTCATAAATTAAAATAATAAATATAAACATAAGACATTAAATTGTTATATATAAGTAAGATTTTATAAGAATTTAGAATATAAGTTTATGTGTAAGTTTAAAAGGTCAAGAATTGTGATTCAGACCAAAAGTCTGACGCTCTCTAATGCCAAGCATGCTGCTATTTTATAGTTTCCTGGCCACAAGCCACAGGCTTTGGGGTAAACTATTGATGCATGACAGGGTGCTTTTATCACAGCATGAATGCTTTGGAACATTCTGATTTTTCTTTTACTATAGAGATAAAATAATAAATGTTTAGATTAAAAGATAAATCATCATGTAAAAGGTTAAGTAAAAAATATAAATAAAGCAAGATTCATGTGGTCGTTGTCCACACTTGCACTAGACATCTGTGGTCCATCTCTTTCTTTCCTTGCCAACGCCACGCCACCTATTCAGGTCCAACGAATCCTGCAGAGCTGGTCTCCAGCATATATATATATATATAAAAGCCTAAGACTCCACTAAAAAATTGCTAGAACTAACAAATGAATTCAGTAAAGGTGCAGGGTACAAAATCAATATACAAAAATCATTAGCATTTCTAACACGAGTAGTGAACTATTTGAAACAAATTAAAAAAACCCAATCCCATTCACAATAGCTGCAAAAAAAGTAAAACACTTAGGAATAAATTTAACCAAGAGGTGAAAGATCACTACAATATAAAGTATAAAACACTGATGAAAGAAAATGAACAAGACACAAATAAATGAAAAGATACCCCATGTTCACGGACTGGAAGACTATTGTTAAAATATCCATACTACCCTAAGCAATCTACAGATTCAATGCAACCCCTATCAAAATACCAATGACAATCTTCACAGAAATAGAAAAAACAAGAAAATCTTAAAATTTGCATGGAACCACAAAGGACCCTGAATAGCCAAAGCAATCTCGAACAAAAAGAACAAAGCTTGACATATCACATTACCTGACTACAAAATATACTAGACTACAGTGCTACAGTAACCAAAACAGCATGGTAGGTGTTGGTAAAAAATAAAATAAAATAAAATAAACCAGACATATAAAAAATAAATAAATAAAATAAAATAAAAAATAAACCAGACATATAGACCAATGAAACAGAATAGAGAGCCCAAGGGGCTGGTCTGTGGCTCACTTGGGAGAGTGTGGTGCTGATAACACCAAGGCCATGGGTTCGGATCCTTATATAGGGATGGCTGTTTAGCTCACTTGGGAGAGCGTGGTACTGACAACACCAAGTCAAGGGTTAAGATCCCCTTACCAGTCATCTTTTAAAAACAGGAAAAAAAAAAAAAAAAAAAAGAATAGAGAGCCCAGAAATAAATTGACATATTCACAGCCAAGTGACTTTCAACAAAGGTGCCAAGAACACACAATGGGGTAAGTACAGTCTCTTCAATAAACAGTGCTGGGAAAACCAGATATCCACATGCAATAGAATGAAATTAGACCCTTATCTCTCTGTATACAAAAATCAACTCAAAATGGATTAAAGACTTAAATGTAGAACCCAAAACTATGAAACTACTAGAATAAAACATAGCTCCATGACATTAGTCTCAGCAATAGTTTTTGTGGATATGACCTTAAAAGCAAAGGTAACAAAAGCAAAAATAGACAAACGGGATTACATCAAACTAAAAAGCTTCTGCACAGCACAGGGTACAGACAACAAAGCAAAGAAACAAAGTACAGAATGGGAGAAAGTATTTGCAAACTATGCATTTGACAAGGGGCTAATACCCCCAATATATAAGAAACTGAAACAACTCAATAGCCAAAAACCGAAACAACCCAATTAAAAAAGGGGCAAAAGCGCTCTCTCTCTCTCTCTCTCTCTCTCTTCCTCTCGCCATGTGATCTGCTTCTACCTGCTGGCTGCCTGCCACTTTCTGCCATGAGCAGAAGCAGTCCATACCAGATGCAGCTGTCCCAGAATCATTCACAGCTGGAAGGACTTTTGCTTTTGGTCTCATATGAGACTTTTGACTTTTAAAAGCAGTCTGAGGCCCATGCCACATGCAGCTGTCCCAGAATCGCTCAAACTGCCTTTTCTGCAAACCCTACCAACCCAGCAGTTTTGTCAGAAGCTTCTGCACCTGTCTCTCAAGATGGAAATCTCTATCCTAAACTGTATCCGGAGCTCTCCCAATATATGGGCCTGAGTTTAAATGAAGAAGAAATATGTGCAAATATGGCAATAGTCCCTGGAGCACCAATTCAGGGGCAGTTGGTAGCAAGACCTAACAGTATGAACTATATGGTGATTCCTGTTACTGGTAATGATGTTGGAATTTGTAGAGCAGAAATTAAGCAAGGGATTCATGAAGTCATTTTGTGTAAGGATCAAGATGGAAAAATTGGGCTCAGGCTTAAATCAATAGATAATGATATATTTGTTCAGCTAGTCCAGGCTAATTCTCCAGCCTCGCTGGTTGGTTTGAGATTTGGGGACCAAGTACTTCAGATCAATGGTGAAAACTGTGCTGGCTGGAGCTCTGATAAAGCACACAAGGTGCTCAAACAGGCTTTTGGAGAGAAAATTACTATGACCGTTCATGACAGGCCCTTTGAACGCACAACTACCATGCATAAGGATAGTACTGGACATGTTGGCTTTATCTTTAAAAATGGAAAAATAACATCCATAGTGAAAGATAGTTCTGCTGCCAGAAATGGTCTTTTTTTTTTTTTTTGTCCTTTTTTGAGACCGGCCGCATGGCACTCAGCCAGTGAGCGCTGTGAGCGCACCGGTCATCCCTATATAGGATCCGAACCCGTGGCGGGAGCGCTGCTACGCTCCCAGCGCCACACTCTCCCGAGTGCGCCAGGGTCTCGGCCCCAGAAATGGTCTTCTCACGGAACATAACATCTGTGAAGTCAATGGACAGAATGTCATTGGATTAAAGGACTCTCAAATTGCAGACATACTGTCAACATCTGGGACTATAGTTACCATAACAATCATGCCTGCTTTTATCTTTGAACATATTATTAAACGGATGGCACCAAGCATTATGAAAAGCCTGATGGATCACACCATTCCTGAGATCTAAAAGTCATGGCATGATGGAAACGTAGCTGAACTCCTCCAGTTTCCTTCTTTGGCAACTTCTGTATTTGCACATGAAGCTTTCCCAGATCCAGGGAGCATATGCTGCATGAGGACCTTCCTATCTTACATTATGGCTGGGAATCTTACTGTATCATCTGATATCTTGTTCACATTTCAAGACAGTTGTAGCCTTATCCTGGTTTTACAGATGTGAAACTTTCAAAAGATTTACTGACTTTCCTAGAATAGTTTCTCTACTGGAAACCTGATGCTTTTACAAGCCATTGTGATTAGGATGACTGATACAGGCTTAGCTTTATGTGAAAACCAGTCACCTTTCTCCTAGGTAATGAGTAATGCTGTTCATATCACTTTAGTTCTATGGTATATTTGCATTTTTAACATGTTACCACAGTACATTTAGAATGATTGCTTTTGATAGATTTCTTTTTTAAGTTCTCTGTGTGTGTGTGTAAAATACCAATTAAGAACACTGGTTTCATTCCATGTAAGCATTATACAGCATATGTAGGTTGCAAAAGATTGTAATGATTGTCATTAAATTTTAACTACCATCACTTAATGCTTGAACTGTTGCCTTAACTATATTAAGCATCTAGAATTAAGACCAAAATATAATTATTGCTGCCTTTTTAAAACTCAAAATGTAGTTCAGAATTAAACTGAAATGTACACTTAGCCCAGAATACTTTAATGGGACTTACTGAGCTATAGCATAGCTGCTTAGTTGTTTTTGAGATTTTCTAGTCGTTGCATAATGGAAACTTCTTTTTTCTGAAAGTTGCCAGTATCACTTTCTGAGGAATGAATTGCTGTACATTTAATGTAAAAATTCTTGTACTAAACAGGATAAACTTTTGACTCCCTTTGTTTTTGTAGGTTAAGTGGGATAATACTTAATTTTGGCATTTCAGTCTTAACATTGTGTAACCTAACTACTTCGAGATGGTCTTTGAATGTTTTCCTGGTAATTTGTTCCATTTCATGACTCCTTCTTGCAAACAAAATGGCAGTGACACTTTATTCTGATTTTTTTTTTTCTTTTTGGTTTACGACTATTCTGTTTTGAGTATGTCTAAATAAAGTTAAATTTTAGTCTGTAAAAAAAAAAAAAAAAGGGGGGGGGGGGCAAAAGACCAGAATAAACATTTCGCAAAGAAGACATACAAATGGCCAACAGGTATATGAAAAAATGCTGAACATCACTAATCATCAGGGAAATGCAAATGGCTATTATAAGACAGAAAATAACAAACACTGACGAGAATATAAAGAAAAGGAAACTCTCATATATTGTTGGTGGGAATGTAAATTAATACAGCCATTATGGAAAACAATATGGAGGTTCCTCAAAAAACTAAAAATGGAACTACCTCATGACCTAGCAATCTCACTGACAGATATATACCCAAAGGAAATGGTCAATATATTGAACAGACACCTGCACTCCTATGTTCACCGCAGCACTATTCACAAAAACCAAAAGATAAAATCAACCTAAATGTCCATCAACGGATGAATGCATAAAATAAATGTGGTATATTATATGCTAAAATACTATTTAGCTATTTAAAAAAATAAAAATGAAATCCTGTTATTTGCAGCAACATGGATGCAACTGGAGACCATCATGTTAAGTGAAGTAAGCCAGTCACAGAAAGACAAATACCTCATGATCTCACTTATGTGGAATCTAAAAAAAAAGAAAAAGAGATTGTTACGTAAGTGGAGAGTAGAATGATGGTTACCAGGAAGGGAAAGGGGATCGGGGTCAGGGAGGCAGGGAAGAGGTGAATTATCAGGTACAAAGTTACAGGTAGATAGGAAGCTTATACTGGTGTTCTAGGCTGACCATAGCTAATAATATTATGTTGTATATTTCTTAATAGCTAGAAAAGCAGATCTTGACAGTAATTATCACAAAGAAAAGATAAATGTTTAGGTGATGGATATGCTATCTATCCTAAGTGAATCATTCATGTATTGAAACAACACACTGTATCCCCACAAATATGTACAATTAAAAATAAATTTTAAAAAATCATACCAATTTTTCCTATGTTTGGGGACAAACACAATCTCTTATACTTTTAAATTATAAATAAAGTTTTTATTTAAACCTTCTTTTGTTATTCAAGTTAAAAAATGTTGCTTAGAACAGTGTGGGCAGGTGAGGTAATTGACCTTTTTGACAGTTTTCTCCTCTTCTTAAGAACAGTGTGACCTTCTTTAAAAATCTAAGTTCCTTGGGCCGAGCCCGTGGCGCACTCGGGAGAGTGCGGCGCTGGGAGCGCAGCAGTGCTCCTGCCGTGGGTTCGGATCCTATATAGGGAGGCCCGGCTCACTCACAGCGCTCACTGGCTGAGCGCGGGGCGGCCGGTCTCGAAAAGGAAAAAAAAAAATCTAAGTTCCTTGGGCCGAGCCCGTGGCGCACTCGGGAGAGTGCGGCGCTGGGAGCGCAGCAGTGCTCCTGCCGTGGGTTCGGATCCTATATAGGGATGACCGGCTCACTCACAGCGCTCACTGGCTGAGCGCGGTGCGGCCGGTCTCGAAAAGGAAAAAAAAAAATCTAAGTTCCCCTACGGCAACATAAAAAAGGCCATATGTGAAAAGACTTCAGCTAACATCATACTCAATGGTGAAAGATTAGAAGCTTTTCTTCTAAGTCCAAGAACAAGACAAGAATGACTACTTTTGCCACTTCCAGAGCAAACTCCCAGTCAGAGCAATTAGGCAAGAAAAAAATAAATAAATAAAAGGCATACAAATTGGAAAGGAAAAAGTAAAATTATCTCTGTTTGCAGCCAACATGATATTATATGTTGAAGAGGGTTGGGAGGCCAAAGCCAGCAAAAAAGATGCCCAATGAATGCTTCATGAGGGATCCCCCCAAAACTTGTAGAACTAATAAACAAATTCAGCAAAGCTTGAGAATACAAAATCGACAAACAACAATCATTTATGTTTCTATACATTAAAAGTGAACAATCTGAAAAGGAAATTAAAAAACAATTCAATTTATAATAACATCAAAAAGAATAACTTTAAAATAACCAAGAAAGCGAAATCTTGTACACTAAAAACTACAAAATGTCACTGAAAGAAATTAAGAAACACAAATAAATGAAAAGATCCTGTGTTCATGTACTGGGAAAATTTAATACTCTCAAGAGAACAGAACTACCCAATCTACAGGTTTAATGCAATGCCTATCAAAATCCCAACAACATTTTTTGCATAAATAGAAAAATTCATTCTAAAATTCATATGGAATCTTGAGGGACCCTGAGTCACCAAAACAATCTTGAAAAAGAACTAATCACACTTTCTAATTTCAAAACTTACTACAAAGCTACAGTAATCAAAACAGTATGGTACTGACATAAAAACAGACATATGGATCAAGAGAATAGAAGAGATCCCAGAAATAAATCCTTGCATACATTGTGTTATGGGCTAAATTGTACCCCTCCCCCAATCACATGCTGAAGTCCTAACCCCTAGTACCTAAGAATGTGACTGTATTTGGAGCTAATACCTATAAAGAGGCAATTAAGGTAAAGTCAGGTCATACAGGAGGCCCTAATCCAATATAATTTTTGTCCCTATAAAAAGAAAATATTAGGACATAGACATGCACAGAGGTAAGATCATAGGAAGATACAGGGAGAACACAGCTATCTACAAGCCAAGGAGAGGCCTCAGAAGAAACCAACTTGCTGACGCCTCAATCTCAGACTTCTAACCTCCAGTACTGTGAGAAAATAAATTTCTGTTCTTCAAGCCACTCAGTCTGTGGTACTTTGTTATGGCAGCTCTAGCAAATTAATACATATGGTCCAATGATTTTTTGACAGGGGTGCCAAGACCATTCAATGGGAAATGGACAGTCTTTTCAACAAATGATGATTGAAAAACTGGATATCCACATGCAAAAGAATGAAGTTGGACCCTTACTTTATATCACATATGAAAATAAACCAAAAATGGATCAAAGACCTAAATGTAAGAGCTAGAACTATAAAACTCTTAGAAAAAAAAAACATAGAATATCTTCATGACATTGGCAATGATTTCTTAAAAGCACAGGCAGCAAAAGAAAAAAATAGACTGGAATACACCAAATTAAAAACTTCTGAGTATTGGACACAAACCAATGGAGTGAAAAGGCAACCCATGGAATGGGAGAAAATACTTGCAAATCATGTATCTGATAAGGGGTTAATATCCAGAATATAAAAAGAACTCCTATAACTCAACCACACAAAAGAATAGATTCAAAAATAGGCAAAGGACTTGAATAGACATTTCTCCAAAGAAGATATATAAATGATCAATAATATGTGAAAAGATGCTCAACATCACTAATTACTAAGGAAGTGCAAATCAAAACCACAATGAAATACCACCTCATACCCATTAGGATGGTTACTATAAAGAAAAGAAAAAAGAAAATAACAAGTGATGGGAGAAAGTGCAAAAATTGGAATCCCTGTGCACTGTTGGTAGAAATGTAAAATGGTATAGCCACTGTGGAAAACAGTACGTGGTTCCTCAAAAAATTAAATTAGAATTACCAGATGATCCAGCAATTCCACTTCTGGGTATATGCCCAAAAGAACTGAAAGCAGAGTCTCAAAGATGTGTTTATACACCCATGTTCATAGAAGCACTATTTTCAATAGCCAAAATGTGGAAACAACCCAAGTGTCTATCAACAGGTGAAAGGATAAACAAAATGTGGTAAATACAATGGAATATTATTCAGCCCTGAAAAGGAAATTCTGACAATGCTACAACACTGAGTGAAATAAGTCAATCACAAAAAGATAAATACTGTATGATTCCACTTATATGAGGTCCTTAGAGTAGCTAAAGTCATAGAGACAGAAAGTAGAATAGAGATTGCCAGGGACTGGAAGAAGAGGAGAATAGCAAGTTATTGTTGGGCACAGTTTCAGTTTCATAAGATAAAAAGAGTTGTGGAGACTGGCTGCACAACAATGTGAATG